GCTCTCATTCTCTCTCAGCCCAGGACTGAATAAACAGAGAAAACAGCCTTTAACAAAAGCATAAGGGATTTAGGTTAATAAAATGACAAGCCTTCTTTTCAGAGGATGGCTTTGTTTAGGCTTCATCTGCTCAAAGAGGCAGATGAAATGGAGGCAGAAAAAGTAGGATAACTTGGGACTCTTTCAGTAGAAGAAATAAGGAAAAAGAAAAGTGCTCAAAATTGCTAAAGATAATCGAAAACAGAACTATAGAAACTGGAGTTAAAATTAAAGAACAATATTCCAGACTCTGGTTTTCAACTAATAGCTGAGTGACCTTGGAAAGTTACATTGCTTCTCTGGACTTTATTTTCCTCATCCGTAAGACTGGATGGAACTTTGAAGTAGAAATATTAATATCAAAGGTTATTTCCCGTTCTAATACTTTGTCAGTTTGAGGTTCCAATGACAAGGAACAGTATGCTGTGATTTGCCCGCAATGGTACTGATTTATGCCTAGTGTCCTGGTGTGATTATTCACAATGCACATTTTCACTCTCAGAGTAAGTATCCTGGTTTGGACCATAAACTATATGGTCACCCTACCTATAACAGTTACTATAACAATTTCCCTTCACACTTGCTTAGCTTGTTTTCCACAGTACAGGTTTTAATCAAAAAGGCAATAGAAATATTTAGCTGAACAACTAGCTTGTTTTCTTCCAAGAAACAAATAATAGTAATAATAACAACTCTTGTTTTTTAACTTGACCATGTGCCTGGCCTTCTTGTCTAGGCCTTTCCAAGCATTAGCTAATGTGATTTCTCATTAAACTCTAGAAATTAAATGTTACTCATTTCTATTTTACATTTGGGACCACTGAGGTACAAAAGGTTAAGACAACTTGCTCAACTCAGGATTTGAACTTGAGTCTCCCTGACTCCCAGGAAGCAGCGTTTCAGTTTTCCATCACGCTGCTTGCAGTACTATGCATTTTATTAATAGCCATACTGTGCCCCCCTCTCTTTATCCAGTGTCTTGGCTGGTTTCAGCAGCCAATTATCTTGGATATGAAAGCAAAACCTTTGCAAGTTCCAAACCATTCCATATGCCATTTAGACTTACAGATGAAAATCTTCCAAAACCACTATGATTTCATGTGAACAACATCTTCTGCCTTTCAGCAAAGAAACTCAGACCCCTGGGTCACTGTGAAAGAGTCTTTGGAGCTCTACACTTTTTGATATTTACTAAACAAGGCCTGCCCAGAGATTATGGGGAATTGTGATGTTGATTAAACCATGATGTTCCTGTTACCCGGCAGGGCAAACGGTTGAGTGATAAAAGCAGTCCTGTGTTCCACAACCATTTTCAAAGCAAAGAAGGTCTGAACAAAATAAATGATTTGAATGCAAGACATAAACAACCAAACAGGCTGGCAAACGAGACCAGTAATGAGGCATCTGGGACACCAGTTCTGCTCCTGATGACTTTCAGGGCCAGCCTTGATGCCTTTCAGATTTTCAAAGAAAAATAAACTGGTGACAAAAGAACAGCAGCTGTGGGCACAATAAGGAAATTAGTTGGAGCAGATTTGTAATTAAGCATTGAAAATGGATCAGTATGATCCCTCCCTGCATACAAGTACCTTTCATTTTTTGCCTCTTTTCAAAATTCCTTTTATTTTTTTTTCCCTGAAATAAACACACTTTTCAGCTTCAGTCATGCATGTCCCGACCTGGGATATTAGCTAAGGATATTACTTTTTTTTCTGGGAAAGAAACAAGAAATTAGCTCACAACAAGCCCAGAACCCCGTGAAGTAAAATAACATTGACTTTGGGTTCCCTTTTTGTTTTTTTGTTTTTTGTTTTTTTCATTTTATAACTTTGGAAAGACAAAAGAGTTGTCTCCATTCAAAAGATTGTATGTTTATGTATAATAAAGGAAGGGTGAAAGATCCGTGGTATTGGAAGGATGATTAAGTTTCATTTCCCAGTACACGATGAGGAGGAAAATTTTATGATCTTCATGACTGTCTTTACATCATTTAACAACGGCATCACAGACAAAGCTTAGGCTCTAAAGATATTGTTATACACTGGAAGTTTTTTTTAAAAATAGCAGTATTTTTGCACAGAATGAATTTTAGTGTTAAGTATTTTGATTATGCCTTCCAGGCTAGAGATAGCTCTCTGCCCTCCACCCATTTCAATCACTTAGTTGCCCCCACCTCTACAACCCCTATTCAGATACCCCTGTGGGTGTCATGGCTGAGAGTCTCAGTAGCTACCTGAGGGGGACAGATCTGGGCCCTTGGAGAACTGGAAATTTGCGTACTTCTCAGAGGAGCGGATTCCTACTTTCTGGTCCACACCGGAGAGTGCGCCCTGTCTCCTGTCTCTTGGATCCTAGCCCCTCTTCCCGTAAATCACTCTGAGCCCAGAGAAACGTAAGGGGAGCGGGTCAGACCCAGGTGTCCTGAATCATTAAGCATGCTGGCTCCTCTGGGGGGCCAGCTAGACCCTCTGAGTTTTGACAGCAGTGAAATGTGACAAGAAAGTAAATATCCTGGTGCCCCACTTCTCCAGAGGTCAGGCAGCCCTCAATCCGCCTTCTGGAACTCAGTTGAGAAGCAGGAAGGAAGCAAAACAGGCTTGAAGCAGCGGAAACACCAGTCACAAAGCAATGCACTTAAACTATGTCTAATTGACTCTTAATTAACACACACTCCTAACAATCCGATTTCTGTAGTCTCCCAGCCCACAGAGAATTAAAAGCAGAAAATTAGAGGGGGATGAGGAAGGATGGAAGAGAGATTAGTAGTGATCACACGAAGGCAGTCAGAAATGATGACAAACAGTCTGAAATCAAAGAAAGAGATAAAAACAAGCCCCTTAAAAGCAGTCCCCAAATTAGCAAGATCAGCAGTCCACAGCCACGTGAGATCAATAGTACGGCGCCGCTGTTCTTGAGCACCATGGTTCCTGCTCCAACAGCAGAGACGACCCGTGTGAAGGAGCGAGCCTGTGCTGGGAACACAGAGACCCTGGCCAAGTGTCCATCTCCTCCTTCCTGGGTTGTCCACCCCTAGAGGGCTTGGTAATCTCCTTGGGACCTTGCTGTAAATATGGAGCCCAGAACTGAGGCCCTGCCCTGGGGGATTCTGATCCAAAACATCCGGATCCTCAGCCCAGGAAGCATCTTCTGCATCTTCACAAGGCCCCTCCCACGGTGATGGTGACTCAGAATCACACTTTCAAAAACATGGCTAACTCCTTTGCCAAACTGGGAAATGGCTTCCTCGAGTCAGGTATTGTTCTGGGCCCTACTGCTTCTGTGAAAGAAAAGCCCTAGCATGTGATCTCCAGGTTCAGCCAGACCAGCTAAGAGCATATACTAATGTTTATGATCAACTCCCAGGCAGCCGCTGAGCAGTCAGGAAAGTGTTCTTGAGGATGACAAACTGAGTGATTTTTTTCAAAAAGGAGTCCTCCCGAAGTGTGCTCAGTCAGGGTCTATCCTTTTTATAATGGTGCACCTCCTTAATAAAATTTTGGGGATACTCACTTTGAATAGATGTATATTTTTATTTATTTATAGTGTATACATATGCTACTAAAGTCATATATTGTCTTATCATAAAAACATATACAAGATAAAAATGAAATTAGAAGTTCTAACACCTTCTACACATACGCTCCCTTTTAAGACTCTTGGGATAAATTTTAGGCCAAATTCTATTCAACATCCACTAGAATGTAAGCTATTTTGAGGGCATATTTTGCTTTATTTATCATTGTATTCAAGGCCCAGCACAATTCCTGGTTTGTGGTCCAGGAATGTTTTTGGGTGAATGAATGAAAGCATGTCTTGGGGTTTGAAGTGGCTAAGGTTTGGTTATCAGGAGTGTTCATCTATATGGAATATCGTTTTCTTCCATGGTAGTCAACAATGTGACTGAATAGAGAAAATACAGACTGAAGTTGAGAAGCATCATTCACATTTGAGGAAACTGTCTGTTAGAATTTAGGGAGTATGATTAATATTTATGAAGCTGAGGAAACACTCTCTGGAACAGGGGAATGACTCATAGTTCATGAAAAGGTAAAAAGTGTTGGTTGTTGTGTAACAGGTATGCATTAAATACCATATGTGTTCATGAAGGGTTTTGTGTGTGTGTGTGTGCACGTGCCTGTGTGTTAATATTCTCTATGAAGTAGTAGTGAATTCCTTTTTCACGTACATTCTCTGTCAGATGCAATTTATTTAACTGTTTTTTTTTGGTTTGGGAAAACAAGGTAATATTTTTAAAATGTACTTTAAAATTAATACACACACTGGACCCTTCTTATGCAAAGACATTTAAAATCTTGTTGCTCACACAAAACATAATTGATGTTTATGTCATATGAAGAATCACTTTACAAAGCCTTGTAGTTGTGTAGCTTTAGTATTTTCGTTGTCAAAGCGACCAAGCCTGAATTATAGTATCTGCCCATTGGTCATTGGCATAGCAATCTCTTAATGAGTTATAAGAATCAATGGTGACTGCTGAGACTGTGAGGAAGAATTTGTCTTGGGAAGGAGAGGGTAGACCCATCTTTGAAGAAAACGCAAAATGTGATGGATACCTACCTTCACTTAGTATTAGCACTTCTCAAACTCTCTGGTCTTAGACCTCTTTACATTCTTTAAAATTACTGATAACCTGACTGAACTTATGCTTATCTGGTTATACATATTAACTATATTGGAAATTTAAATGAAGAATTCTTTAAAATTTAAGAATGCAGATTCCATTTGTTAACCAACAGAACAAGGGGTGTGTGTGTGTTAGTTGATCCAGTGTGTTAGTTGTATTCAGCTCTTCGCGACTCCATGGACTGCAGCCCACCAGACTCCTCTGTCCATGGGATTCTCCAGTCAAGAATACTGGAGTGGATTGCCATTCCCTTCTCCAGGGGATCTTTCCAAGCCAGGGATTGAACCCAGGTCTCATGCACTACAGGCAGATTCTTCCTGTCTGAGCCACCAGGAACAATGATTATAGCCTTCAGAAAACTCAACTGTCAGCTAAGTAAAAGTGAAAAAGGCAAGTAACATTTTGATATTATTACGAAAATAATTTCAACTGAATGAATGCCTTGGTAGAGTCTCCAGAACCCTCAGGGGTCCCTGGACCATATTTTGTGAACCACTGACTTTGCAGATTCTAGAGACAAAAAGCTAACTTTGTCCACTCTTGGAAGAAGCTATCAACCAAGAGATAAGAGTGACACCTGGCTGCTGAAGACTGAGGAATTTCACTAGGATGGAGGCTCCGCTGGTGACAGCTGGTGACCCACCATATTATGACAAAGCACGTACCGTGGTGTGCTGAATGTGAAGGATACGGTATTTATAAGAAAGACCTTTTCACCCCTAAAATATTTGGAACTGGTGACCTTGTCTTTTTGACATGATCCTTGACACAGTGACCCATGTTCCTGTGAATTCGTTGCTGTGGCCATCTCTGGAAATCATTAGCTTCTGGGTATGGGTGAAGAATTCTGAAGGGTGGTTGCTCCAGATTTCAGTCCTTGAGTTTCAATAGCATTATTCTTTTGAACTGAGATCTCTTCATTTCAGCAGGAATTTTCTGCTGTGTCACAAACAGGGTAGAAGAGGCAGCTGTTCTCTTGGGTGAATATCTACTATTTTCTTATTTAAAGTTTAACTATACAAGTACACAAATATTTACTTGTTGAATGAATGAAATTTGAAGCATGAAATCAACTGAATGTATTAACCATGGTCTTGAAAGGACAGATCTTTTCTTAAGGCAAAATGGAGGAAGATCTTATCTTTTCCAGTGAGAGAAAGAAGTGGGGTGGACTCACTCTTGATAGAAATAAGTTGGTCATTTAGAGGTGAATCAGGGGCCATGGGGAAAGAGATAAAATGCCAATAAATACCATATAAAATTCCAATGCAAAGCCCTTTGTTCAAAAAGCAAGAATAAAGGGCATTAGAAGTAGTAAAATATAGAATGCTTTCCTTTCTTCCACAATCTCTCAACTTGTCACAGTTTTTCATGTGCTATCTGATATCTTTTTAAGTAAGTAAAAATGAAAATTTTTAATTATTGGAATGAATTATACTGTCTTTATATTTTAGAATGCCAGTTTTAAATGCAAATGGAAGAACATTTAACTTGTGTGCAGAATCACTGAAATTATACAATTTGTTTTTCATAGTATGTTCAGTTCACTTCAGTTCAGTTCAGTCACTCAGTTGTGTCTGCCTCTTTGTGACCCCATGAATCGCAGCATGCCAGGCCTCACTGTCCATCATAGTATGTACATGCATATTAATTTAATTCTTACCAGAACAGTGGAAACACTTCACAAGACTCAGTTGTTTGTATTTCACTTCTTGAGACATGCACGTTCTGCCACACTTGGGAAGCAAATGGCTTCTTCCATAATATGCTAACCTTGTGCTCACTTTGAGTCTCATTAAAGTCCCACACAAAGTTGGTCCACCAGCACGCTATACTTGAAAGGCATTGCCAAAGCTATATGTGAATGGGGCAGCAGGGACCGGGGATGTGCATTACTGTGCATATCTTCTCTGCTTGCACACATGCTCCTTTGTCCCATTGGACCTCACAAGTTCAAGGATAAAATTTTTGAAAATTTCAAGATGGCGATAGCTGTGGTTTAACCAAGCATGGGGCCTTACTGAGTATGGGGCATGGGGTCCTGTCTGACTGCACACCCATGAAGCTGAGCCTGACTTGGAGGTGAGGCTCCTGAGCTGATGGTGGAGGCTCATTCTCGACAGCCTACCTGCTCTGGGTTATGGTGTGTGTAACTCTCTCAAAGGTCAGAGGTCCAGGATCTCATGGGAGAATGCTCTTCTCATAGTGCCGGGGGATAAGACAGCAGCAGAGGGAGCCCATGGTGATCTGTTGGGGTGCACAAAAGAAATTATTTAACTCATTTATCTACTTACTTTTTAATCTCATTCTTTAAAAATTTCCATGTGGTGTTATATATTTTCAGAATGCATAAAACATATCAGCAGAGTACCACATGTATAAAATTTATAAATATAGAAACATACACTGATGTGTGCACTCAAAAATGTTTTACTGTAAGGAGTACTGGAAAGAACAATTGGAAGGCACCACACCCAGAAGACAGCATAAGGAATGAGTCAAGGAGTGCCTAGGGACTGAGGAGATGCCCATTTTGTTTACTTAGCAATGGCTTCCTGAGACAAGACTAAGTAGAAAGTGGAGACAAACCAGCACCCTGGCTGGTGTCAGCCCATATCCCAACCCCACCTTCCCCTGATGTGAGGTCAACAGTCCTACGTGAGCTTCAGCCAGACAGGTAGACTTGAGTAGGTGGGAGGTCCTTGATTTACAAGGGGAAGAATTTAAGTTGTGTCCATGCAAGAGACCCAGGAATAAAGCTGGGGCATCACTGGCTCTTGTTGGATTCCCGTGAGCAAGAGAGAGACTAAAAATTCAAGGCAAAGCAAAAGGAGCCAAGTCAGTAGTAACAATTTATTGACTTCTATGCTGTTGAACTCACTATGAAGTCGGTCTTTACAGATGAGGAAATGGAGAGCCAGGGCATGAAGTGACTTGCTGAGGGTCATGGTTCTATTACCGTGTTCACCTATAGGTTGCAGCAGGCTGAGCAGAGATATCCCCATGTGGCAGGAATTAATAATCATCATCTCCATTTTACAGATGAGAAAGCCTGAGGTTCAGAAGAAGGCTGTAATGACCAGAACTTCTTCTGGACAGAAGCTGGGCATGTGGTCCATGAGTGTATCAGCCTGAGTCAGTCTAGAGACCAGTTGCCATGACTGAGATGATGACCAGAGTGAACCCAGTTGTCTAACAGGGGTCCCCAACCCATAGTACCAGTCCATGACCTGTTAGGAACCAGGCCACATAGCAGGAGGTGAGCAGTGGATGAAAATTAAACCATCCCTTTCTCCCTGCTGGCAGTGGAAAAACTGTCTTCCATGAATCCGGTCCCTGGGGCCAAAAAGCTTGGGGACCGCTGATCTAAGAGGGTGGAGGGATCCAAGGGCTCAAATCTTAATCCCTGGTTTTAGAAATGAGTGAACACAATCTTCAGCTGCTGGACTGGAAATTATAAACTCAATTTACTTTATCTTTCAAAGCAAGTTCAAGGGCATTAAGAATCTCTTTATAATGATCTCTTCGGTATTTATGATATCCCTAAAAGGCAACAAGGCTGCTTCATCTCATATTTATATCCACGCAGAGCTAAGGAGCAGGGACAAGGTCTTCCCACTTAGGATGAGAAAGATGCTAACCAACCCAAAATCCCTGTGCTGGCTCTGACACAGTACTGCAAATAAGGCAGCTTCTTACTGTCCTTCTTTTCTTATTTTACCTCATTTGGTTAAACCACACAAGCTCTGTGCTTGGAACTTCCGTTTTCTTATCTTGAACATCATGTACTGTTCCAGCTCATAGGCAGCCACCCAGGAAGGAAGCATTTCATTCCTTTCAGACAGAGGGCCTGACTAGCCAATGGCCACGCTGTTGAAAAGCTCTGTAAGTATTAAAGAAGATTCTTTTTGCTGCATTAAAAAGGTCAAAAACTGGAACGTGTACAGTGTTAGAGTTTAATAGTTATCTCTGATCTGCTTACCTTGAAATCAAGTATCAAAAGAAAACTTGGAGAAGCAATGGTGAGACAGACAGAAACAGACAGACAGACAGACAGATGGAATCAAGTTCATGTCTCTTTCCCTATCCATTTTGAGTTTCCCTACATCCAAGTAAAACTTAAAAAATCAATACATCAGGCTTCAACCTACTTCATACTTATTGGAAACCTAAATGGTGCTAATTCTTTATTGTAATCAACTCATTATTCAAATTGCTGTTATATGCTTATCATTTTCAATGTCACATGAAATGTGTTTTTATTCTTCTGTTTTCTTTTTGAACCAACATAACTTGGTTAAGCATTTCATAAAATATATAGATGCCTCAGTGAATGCATTCTTTGGACTTGTGGGCGGGAAAAGGAAATTTGTCCAGCAAATTGTCAATCTTACAGTTTTTCTTTTTTTTTAAGTTCCTGGTTTCTTGGAAAATGTTCTTTAGACGAGCTGTTTACTTTTGATTTACACAGCAGATGATTTTGAGAAGTTCTAAACTAAATAGGTAAAAAATGTTTCAAATGATGCAAAAATATAAAGAAATGTGACATGGAAAAATACCTGAGTCTGTCCTACCTAAAAAGTTATGTTGGGAATTAAACTGAATTGGGTAGAAAAAAACCTCACACTCATTTTTTTTTTTCTATTGTAGGAAATTTTAAAATATGCATTCAATTCTGGACCACTGGGAGTCACAGAAAGTTCATGGATGGTCTCAAAAAGCATTTCTATTATACTTTCACAAGTAGGAAGCATATATAGGACTGAAGAGAAAATATATAATGTTTCAAATATCAGTTTTACTCTAAACACTTGATTCTGTATGACTGGAGAACTGTTTGGTTTAGCTCTTCTTCCACCTGCTCACCTCTGATCCTCTCCGCAACCTAGAGATATATAACAGACAGCACGTGCTTGGTTGGAATTCCTCTCTTTTCCTCTCCCTTGCTCTACAGTCTTTGAACCTTCTTGGTTTTCCATAAACAGTCTCTGAGAAGGGAGAAGTATCCAACAAAAATAGCCAGTGTTTTCTGAGGGCTTACTCTGAACTTCTCTATCTACCTTGACCTAAGCTCTTTAAATGAGCCACAGCACGTAATCTTTACTGCGATCTTTCAAGGTAGGTTCTGTTAATATTCCCATTGTAAAGTTGAGAAAGCTGAGTCCTAGGGCAAGTAAGTTGCCCAACGATATATAGTTTGTAAAAGGTACAGCAGGATTTCAACCCAGGCAGCCCAGCCTGTCTCCAAAGCACATGCTTGTAACCAAATACTACACATACACACACACACACACACACAACCAAATACTACACATACACATAAACCTATCACCCCCAACAAAAAAGGAGACAGGAGTATAAAGGAATATAATGGTTGGAGGGATGGGAGAGTAATGACTTGAAGGAAGGCAGAAGAGAGGCTTGTTGGAAGTGACCTGTTTCTTGATCCAGCTGCTGGGTTCGGGCATCTTGTAAAAATCTGTGGCACCGACTACTTGTGCACTTTTACGTATGTATTGTTGTTCAGTTGTTAAGTCGTGTCCAACTCTTTGTGACCCTATAAGCTGCAGCACACCAGGCTTCTCTGTCCTTCACTATCTCCTGGAGTTTGCTCAAACTCATGTCCATTGAGTCAGTGATGCCATCCAACCATTTCATCCTCTGTCACCCCCATCTCCTGCCCTCAGTCTTTCTTAGCATCAAGGTCTTTTCTAATGAGTTGGCGCTTTGCACCAGGTGGCCAAAATATTGGAGCTTCAGCTCACCATCAGACCTTCCTAGTGAATATTCAGGATTGATTTCCTTTAGAATTGACTGGTTTGATCTCCTTGCTCTTCAACGGACTCTCAAGAGTTTTCTCCAGCAACACAATTTGAAAGCATCAATTCTTCAGCGCTCAGCCTTCTTTATGGTCCAACTCTCATATCCATACATGACTACTGGAAAAACTAAAGCTTTGACTATATGGACCTTTGTTGACAAAGTGCTGTCTCTTCTTTTTAAAACTCTGTCTCAGTTTGTCATAGCTTTTCTTCCAAGAAGCAAGCGTCTTTTAATTTCATGGCTGCAGTCACCATCTGCAGTGATTTTGGAGAAAATAAAATCTGTCACTATTTCTACTTTCTCCCCATCTACTTGCCATGAAATGATGGGACCAGATGCCATGATCTTCGTTTTTTGAATGCTGAATTTTAGGCCAGCTTTTCTATTCTCCTCTTTTACCTTCGTCAAGAGGCTCTTTAGTTCCTCATTGCTTTCTGCCATTAGAGTTGTATCATCTGCATCTCTGAGGTTATTCATATTTCTCCCAGAAACCTTGATTCCAACTTGTGATCCATCCAGCCCGGCATTTCGAATGATGTACTCTCTGTATAGTTAAATAAGCAGGGTGACAATATACAGCCTTGACATACTCCTTTCCCAATGTTGAACCAGTCTGTTGTTCTATGTCCAGTTCTAACTATTGCTTCTTGTCCTACATACAGGTTTCTCAGGAGACTGGTAAGGTGGTCTGGTATTCCCATCTCTTTAAGAATTTTCTACAATTTGTTTTGATCCACACAGTCAAAGGCTTTAGCATAGTCAATGAAGCAGATGTTTTCTGGAATTCCCTTGCTTTTTCTATGATCCAACAGATGCTAGCAATTTGATCTCTGGTTCCTCTGCGTTTTTAAATCCAAAGTGTGTATTACACTTCAATAGAATTAAAAGAGAAAAAGGAAATTAGCCTAAATATCTTATTTTTGCTCATTTCCATATATATATATATATACATACATATACGTATATATATACACACACCACTGGGAAAATTGAATAGTCATTTGCCTTAAATAATCTTGTCAAAAGAGTCTCTGAGGGAATTTTTCCCATATGTAGGTAGCTGGGCAGGTGCCCTGGATTTGAGTGGAGGTCTTGCTGCTAGATAATTTTGCGTAATGACTTGATCTCTATCTCTCAGTTTACTTCTCTGAAAAACTGGGGATGGCTGATTCCTACATTGCAGGGTAGGATTAAACGATCACTTTATATAAAGACTTGGAAGTGGAGATAATCTTGCCTTCTTTGATGCTAAAGTGGTGAGGGCTACTAGGGTGTCCCAGCAGGTGCAGGAGAAGAAGCACTGGGCTTCATGGCTAGTGACCAGGATTCTGCTCCGTAAACAAAGTACAGATATTTAAAAGCCATTTCATTTGCAGGGTCTAGGTGTGTTCCTTCTTCAGGTAAAAAGCTCTTTCCTTTACCACAAGCTGTATGACCAGATCCAAGATCAACCAGATGGACACAAATGAATCCACCGCCTTCTCTTTGTTCAGAAGGTGCAGCTGGAGTGAGTTGTGTTCCAGAATTAAAATGCTAAGGTGGAAGTGAATGGATCTATCACATTTCTCAGCATCTGTGACAAAGACTGAATTCCAAGGAGAAGTAAATGAGGGAAGGAAGAAGTTGAATTTCTTGGACAATGTGACTATTACCATGTCTGCCCATTAGCTTGATGTGCTTTAAACCTGTAACATCTGAAATCTTTGTTCCCTTCTTTTGGGGCATCCATCACACAAAGCTGGCCTGCAGGCATTTGTAAGATGCCTACTCTCTGTAGCCCTTCACTGTGTCCATCCATACCTGATGGCTTGCCCTTCACAAAAGCCCTTTCTAATTCTGCCAGCGGTCAGCTCCACTTGCCACAGTCCTGTCAAAGCAGACAAATTAAACATGTCAGGTGACATATGGAAGAAAAGAGTTACTGATTTATTGAGGAACTTTTTATGGATAGGAGTTATTTCTCTTGGCCTGGTACCTACTCTCCAGGCTTGATCGCATTTCAAGGTACTACAGTCATCTACTCAAATATTCTAGGTCCTCAGATGTTTGTGTGCACACATCTGTCTGTGTGTGTACATGTCTGAATACGGTGGGGAAGCTGCAGCAAGGTTGTTGATTGCAAAGTGAGAATGAAGGGGAAAAGTTAAGGCTCCCTCCAGTCCCCGCTTCTAATGATTTTCTGTGACACTATGGCTATCTTAGTTGAGAAAAGGACTTAGGGTCATATTGTTAATGAAAAAACTCTTTAGGTGAACAAGTTTGAAAACATTGTACTGTTTATTTGAAGAAGGACATAGAAAGCCCTATTTTTCCTTCTATTTTTGTTTGCAAATAGAATGCTATTGTGTCTATCTCTTGTATTGCTTTATAAAAAAAAGACCCAGTGGTATGGGAAGGTCAGATTTGGGGGTGATCATTCTCCCTCTAGCTTTTCAGATGTCACAGCCAGATGAAGGATAATTTAAGAAGCACGGAGCTGGGTGATGGGTCTTACAGAGCTGCCTGTCTGCTGGACCTGGAGGAAAGCTTACCCCAGCAAGGTAATTTACGACAGAAGACAATGTCAGCTCCCTGCAGGCAGCACAGCCTAAATTCTCCGAAGAATCCTGTTTTATTGGAGAGAGCTGTAAGGCTGGAGACGGGATAAGTTATAGCTTTCCAGTGGCTTTCCCCTTCCTCCTTTTCCTTGTTGTGATTGTTATTTATTATTTGTGGGTACGGATGAGAGGGTTCACTTTGCCAACTTTTGAACTCTCTAGATTCATGGCTCCAAGTTTTGAACTGTCCCTGAACCTTCCTGCCTTCGAGTTCCTATTCTCTTAGCATTCTGCAGTGTCCTATTGTGAATGGAGAAAGACTCTAAAAGGTTTATTTTAAAAGGTTTAAATATTTTCTTAAACATCAAATAGAATTTAAAAAAAAAAAAGCAGCAACCTATTGTGATGAGTCAAGAATAAATGAGTCGAAAACATATGCTCCAAATTTCCCCCAGTTTATGCAGCAGGTTCATGGCTGAATTGCTATTAAGCTTTCTTGGATTCAAAGTTGATATGAAACGACATGACAAGGGATGCGCCCAAACACATTAGTTCTTTTAGTTTCTGTTGCTTTGTTCCTTATTTAATATAAAATGGGCTTTGGTTGAACTCTGGAAGCTAGAGAGAAGAGAAAAGAGCAGGAGATATTTATAAGCAATGTTTTGCCAAGTAAGAGCTCTATTAGGAAACAGGGCATTTTGGCTAAAGAATTAAATTCTTGATTTAATGGTTGTAACATTAGGAGATAGAAATACCTTTGAAGTCTCGGCTGCCTAGCTCTCCACTCTGTTGGAGCCCTTCTCATCACCTTCACGCCTACAGCTCACTTGGCGCATCCTCCTAAGCTTCAAGACCTGTCCTTAAGAACCCTGAGAGGTTATTTGGGTCTAGTACTTTCTGTGGCCAATTGCCTTGAATATGCTTTACTGAAAGTGAGCCTTGGGGGTATGCGGTGGTAGCTCTGCAAAGGTAGCTGGGGATGAAACAGAGGAAATACTAAGACCTTCTGCTCTTCCCTGTGGTCCCTGTGATCAGGGGTGTCCAATGCTGTTTTGACCTCAGAAGACCTGTGTGGGGACAGGGCAGGCTACTGGGAGTCAGAGGGCGTGGTACGTGGCTGAAGTTTAGGGACCATTTGCCAAATGAATGTCCTGGCACCTGGGCAGCAAAGGCATATCTGATGCCTACAGGACGATACCCTGTAATGTGTGTTTGGGTCAGAGTAACCATGAGCCCACAAACCGGACAGAGCCACGCAAAGAATGCTTACTTTTGCCGTAACATTCCCCCATACATGCTTGGGAAAACTAACTCACCATGTGCTATGGGTCTGTCCTGTTTCCCCACCTGACAAAAAAAACTGGGCTCGCCATTTGCCACCCACTTTGTGGGGTGGATGTGGGGTGGGTATGAGAAATCCTACAGAGAGCTTAGGGATCGCTGGCTGAAAGTCAAGTACCCATACGAAGTACCAAGCACCACTTTTTAGCATTAGAGACAGATGCTCAGAGGGAGAAGTAGGCACATTTTGCCACCAGTTCAAAACATGCCTTCGACTCCTGCCCAGAGAGTAAAACATGGTTATTAAAAGTTAAGATGACAGAAAGTGCTGAAGAGAAGCTGCCAGGAAAACCCCTTTGCCCAGTCCTTGCCCCAGGGTCCCACTGCCAGTGGGGGATTATCTAAAGTGGGTGTCCTTAGAGAAAGCAGGAATTCTCTTCCACCACAGACTGTTGAAACCTTCCCGTTTCACTGTTTTAAAAGCTGCAGAGAATTAAAAATAGAAGCTTTTTGGAGGGAGGAGAGGGTCCTTTGGGGGCACTCTGTTTGCTTTGGTTTCTATCTCCCTCCCTGGAATGCAGTAAAAACCTGGGGAAGTCAGCACTCAGAGAGGAGGCCTTTGCAGAGAAATGAAACCCCCTCACGCCAAAGTGAAGGGTGAGGAACTCTTCTGGGTTCTGGTTTTATAATCATTTCTGTTTATAGTAGGAAAGAAATAGCCCCCTTCTTGAATTCAGCACATGTAGTCTTTTCTTAACGGTTCCCCTCCTTATACAAACATGATCAGGCCTAGTCCTTCAATAGGTTATTATTTAGCAGCTAATGTTAAATACAGATGAAACTTGCCAGTTGAATGAGATGACTGTCCCCCAGGTGTAAGAGTGCCATTCATACACAGGAAGTGACGACTGTAAATGGTGGCCGTCAGAGTCAAAATAGCTGG